CTTACTTATATGATCAATTATAATATAGACTGGAGTTACTTACTCCTATTTTCAATCATAATATAGACTGAAATCACTTACAAATATGTTAAATTATTATATAGACTGAAATCACTTACTAATATGTTCAATTATAATATAGACAGGAGTTACTTACTACTATTTTCAATCATAATATAGACTGATATCACTTACTAATATGTTCAATTATAATATAGACTGGAGTTACTTACTACTATTTTCAATTATGATATACACTGGAGTTACTTTCCAATATGTTCAATTATAATATAGATTTGAGTTACTTTCCAATATGTTCAATTATAATATAAACTGGAATTACTTACTAATATGTTCAATTATGATATACACTGGAGTTACTTACCAATATGTTCAATTATCATATAGAATGAAGTCACTTACTAATATGTTCAATTATAATATAGACTGAAGTTACTTGCTAATATGTTCAATTATAATATAAACTGGAATTACTTACTAATATGTTCAATTATGATATACACTGGAGTTACTTACCAATATGTTCAATTATCATATAGAATGAAGTCACTTACTAATATGTTCAATTATAATATAGACTGGAGTTACTTACTAATATGTTCAATTATAATATAGACTAGAGTTACTTACTAATACGTTCAATTATAATATAGACTAGAGTTACTTACTAATACGTTCAATTATAATATAAACTGGAATTTCTTACTAATATGTTCATTTATAATATAGACTGGAGTAACTCACTACTATTTTCAATTATAAGATAGACTGAAATCACTTACTAATCTGTTCAATTATAATATAGACTGGAGTTACCTACTAATATGATCAATTATAATATAGACTGGAGTTACCTACTAATATGATCAATTATGATATAGACTGGAGTTACTTACCAATATGTTCAATTATCATATAGAATGAAGTCACTTACTTATATGTTCAATTATAATGTAGACTTTAAGTTACTTACTAATATGTTCAATTATGATATGGACTGGAGTTACTTACCAATATATTCAATTATAATGTAGACTTTAATTTACTTACTAATATGTTCAATTATAATGTAGACTTTAAGTTACTTACTAATATGTTCAATTATGATATACACTGGAGTTACTTACCAATATGTTCAATTATCATATAGAATGAAATCACTTACTAATATGTTCAATTATAATATAGACTGAAGTTACTTGCTAATATGTTCATTTATAATATAGACTGGAGTTACTTCCTAATACGTTCAATTATAATATAGACTAGAGTTACTTACTAATACGTTCAATTATAATATAGACTAGAGTTACTTACTAATACGTTCAATTATAATATAGGCTGGAGTTACTTACTAATACGTTCAATTATAATATAGCCTGGAGTTACCTACTAATGTGTTCAATGAACATATGATATAGATTTGAGTTACTTACTAATAGGTTCAGTTATAATATAGATTTGAGTTACTTACTTATAAGTTCAGTTATAATGCTAATATGTTCAATGTAATATAAAGTGGGCAAATTAACATGGGCATCACATATTGGAAACCTTTTGATTTCTCGTGGCTACGGCTTTGTATGGTTAAACCAAACAGTTGGTGATGTCAAACTCTTTTTGAAACAATCTATAAATATGTTTACTCAGAATGGCATGCCACTCTAGAAAAGATCAAGGTATGACTTGTATAGAACTTGTAAGATGGATATTCAACCAGAAAAATACTGATCTATATTAACATCGTAGGTTTGGATTGTAAGATCTCATGCTACACGAAGGAAGAAAAACGTCCACTGAAAAATCGAACAGGTTATGCCTATTATGTGACTCAGCTATACAAAATGAAATCTAAGAAAAACATTTGTACCAGAACGCTATCTGTCCAATTATCCTGTACCTTCTTTTATTTCTCTTCTCTCTTCAAAGGATAATGCTGTCACATTAAAACTGGTCATATGTGTTAAAAATGCAATTTCTCTCAGAAACCAATTGTCCGAATATGTAAAACTACTTATATGCTTAAAAGCAATAACTATCTTTGACTTTGACTTTAACTTGACTTTGACTGGACTTACTTACTTATATGTTCAATGTGATATAGACTTGAGTTATTTACTGCTACAGATTTGAGTTGCTTCATTTACAAGATATAAAACGTCAATGCCAGAGAATAAGTAGTTTTAATTATCCCACGAAAGAGATTGCACTGGACGTAAAGGGCAAAATAGCTTTGAAAGGTAATGGAATGGAACTATGAAAATAACTGATGACAAATGTGTTCGGGGAAGGGTAAACAGACAGCGAGATTCTCCCCCTATGGCCCTGCATGTTTACCATGTTCTGTGAACAGTATACTCACATCTTATAGCTCTGGTATTAGTAAAACATTTAAGAAGAAGAAAAACGCAAAATAAAATAAGATATACATATTCACATACATGTTTTTTGTAGTATATGTATTATGAAGGTGTATCGTTAATTAGGGGTCTGTTTATGGAGGGGCATGTTGTGTGGTCGGTGTTCATCAGTTCTGTACAATATTAGTTTCCTTGCCTAAGATGCAGTTTACAAAACAATGTATGTAGACATATATTTCAACATGTAATATATCTAATTTATTGTGTGGCAGGCTTGCAGGCTAATTTAGTTAAATACATGTCGGTTAAAACAATGTATTACTTTCGTTGTCTCATATTAAGGGAGAACTACACGTATTATGTTACGTCTTCATTTATTGAGTTGCTGGCGGATCTGTGTTATCATTCCCATGTATTCTACTGTTTGGGTTCAAATCTGAATATTTCTTTTGCGCTGTTAATGTAGTATTGTTCTTTAAAATTCCTGTAGCGTCTTTAAATGGCGAGAGATTTACCAAAACGTGTAGAATAGAAAATAAAAGCGACCTAAAACATTTCCAAAATCATAAGAAATATCCGCTCAAGGCAGTGTTTGAAAACATCTATAATGTCGTTATATATAATTACAGTTTAACATTGAGAATTACAATATGGCGCGGTCGTTGGCGTCATTAGAGAGAGAGAGTAACGCATATTTAATCATTCACGCAACCTTCATGCTCGTTTGTTCATACTGTGAGTGCTCAGTCAGAACAATAAGGTCATACTTGTATGAGCACCAGCTGATACAGTGTTTCAATGGTACATAAAATTAATACTCCCCCGTGATACATAACGGAATGTGAATGTATCAACATTTCTAACTATAGACCTATGTAACAAATGTTATATTTGGGATAACACTTTCTTTTTCAAGTACAGATTCTTGTGGTTTTGACATATCACTTCTTTAAGTGACGTTTAGAAGTTGGTATAATGACCATGGGAGATGGGTCTGTGGATATACGTCTTAAAATGAATGGATGTTACGGTGGAGATACTACCGCCTTCATCAAGCAAGTGATCACGACGGCGTCAGCATCTAAACCGAAACATGGCATTCACTAATATAGTTGTATAACCATAGAACTATCACAAGGTAGACACAATTTTATGGATAACAACTTCTTTAATACTGTAAAAAGTGACGCTTCCGTATAGATCCTTATACCGTTTTCAAGCAAGACTGAATGAGGGACATAGTACAGAATATATATAGTAGGTGGAGGATTAACGGTAGAAGATAAACAGTAACAACAATTGCATACATAAGTCGGAACCCTCCACCTACTATAAATATTCTGTACTGTGTCCCTCATTCAGTCTTGCTTGACAACGGTATAAGGATCTGTACCGAAACGTCGCTTTTTACAGTATTAAAGAAGTTGTTATCCATAAAATTGTGTCTACTTTGTCATCGTCAAATTCTAAGTAATGTCTATCAAACAATTAATAGAACTGTCTCTCTCGTTTCTATACCTAGGGTCCGTTGTTCAACTATAATTCTTTCATCTGACAAAGATTGTTTAAAATCTTAAGATCGTTTCAATAATGATCAAAGTTACAATATGTATGTATGAACATAAAGATGTTTTCACAAAAATACTCTTAAATTCCTTAAGGGAATTTTAGCCGATGGATCATATGATAAATAACACGGATATGCGTGTCAACCTAATTAAATGAGGTCCACATCCATATACATGCATATGTTGTGGTCAATATTTTATAGATGTACAGTATATTAAGCTAGATATTTTAATAAATTAAATAACATATAAATTTGGATAAACATGTTGGACCGGCTTTTTCATATCTTCATCTCAAAATTGCGAATTTGATGATCGCATCATGCTTTATAAATGTCAAATGATTTTTATGACGCTGTTATCATATGATTACGTCAAGAGATATTAAAACAAATTCGCTACATGTTATTTAAAGCCAGAACACAGACATTAATGTGTCCTTGACATATGACTAAGTTTAGAAGTTTAGAAGTCAGTATCATTACATGAGGAAATACGTCAGGATGAGTAGGAAGGGCACGACATGAGTTTAACGCCTCTGTGTTTCACAGTATTTCAGTTCAGCAGTATCATGGCAGAAGAAAACTCGACGTGATACAGATCACACACGTTTACCACTCACATCATTGTCACGGGCACAGGTATGGTGCTGACAACCTATGGATCATAATCAGGGTAATTCTGGGATTCGAACCTAGATCAGCGGATCCTGCACGGCAAAGAAAAACCACTCAGAACGTATTCGTGTTCTGACACCTAAGGCTATTGGACTACCTATATTGATAATACACACAGATGTAAATAGGAGGAAATATCTCAACATCACTTTGGAAATTTGAGTACTTTAAAGTTATAGTAATAGTATAGTAATAGTCCATGTGGTTAGCTAGACAGAATACGAAATCTTATAACATCACGATCATTACGAAGACTGAGAAAGTATATAGTGTGTGGTGAACATGACCTTGTATTTTAAAGGTCAAGTTGTAAGTGTTTGAGTGATAGAATTAAGTCGTGAAACTATCATGAAAACATAACAAGATGCATAGAATACTTTCAGATACTTTACTCTCGCATTCAGGATTTACACCATTCAATGACGTCACATGCACGTCATCATCTTAAATAAACGTTATTATGTACAAGGCACAATATGCTTCACATTGCACTTCCATATTAGGAAATATTGTCCACTGTCAAGGTCACAAAGTCACAGAAAGTGCTTACGACACATAACCCCACTATGACATCTTTGGATTCTATGTTACGTACATTACGTATGTATGACGCATTACGTATGCGTAACATATACGTGACGGTATATTGCGCATGCCTGCTGTTGAAAGCAGAATATGTCCTCTATCTTTGGAATGCGAAGCGTAGACGACACCTTAAACGTCCTGTAAAATGTCAACTGATGAATCGATGATATTAAAACTTTTAATGAATCAGATCAGGAGATTTGATGTCGAGTTCCGGTGTGCCTTTGCATGACTAATGTGTTGTTTGGCTGTCGTGGCATTTATACCGAATGCACATTTATTTCTTCATCTTCGTCGGAACAGATGGAGAGTTCGTCGCTGCTGACGTCCACAATGTTCTCATCTCCTGATTGGTTCTTTGGGTCGTCACTAGATGTCTCTCCTTCACATCCGCCATCTTCTTGTCGCGCGTGCACTTTGCGATGACGCTCGAGGTTACTTTTATGACTGGTGGCGTAATCACAGATCGTACATACGAAGTCTTTTTGTCCGTTGTGCACCGATAGGTGGCGCTTCAGGAGTGCCTTCCGGCAGAACCTCCGTCCACAATAGAAACACGTGTAACCATGGTAATGGAATATCATTGCGTGCTCACGTAACGACGCTTTAGTCGTGAACAAAATGCCGCAGCATTCTAACAGTTTTGAACACGCTTGATGCATTGTCAGCATATGCCTTTTGAGATTATTTCTTCTGTCTGTTGTATATCTACACTGCGGGCAAGGGAAGATCTTACGGCCGTAGCCGTATTGTGATGAGTAGGGATCTGACACGGAACCAACCATCCCCTGCAGTCCTTCCGATGGGGGTACTTTTTCGGGCAGAGCTGCTTGTGCCCTTATGTTGAACAGTTCACTCGTTGGCAGGGCAAGTGTTCTTTCTGGAACTAGAACACCGGGTTGGGTGAGTGAGGGAGCGAGTGACGATTTAATATTATCCAGAACACGGTAGCAAGTCGCATGTTGGCGCCTCATGTGATCAAACAGGCTGAGGCTGTATGGGAGGGTAGCAAGCGGTGTGGAAGCTGTCTTCCCCTGTCCATCGGCTTCACGTGCCAGCTTGAGAGGGGGGACTCTGGTGCAGTCGCCCCCCACGGGGAGGGGGTATCTGCACCCCACGGCATCAAGAACAAGGGGCCTCTGACAATACACGGGTGTAGGCCTGGAAGAGAAAATGACGACTGTTATGACAATGGCACCAGGTGTTCTGAAACTGGATGAACATTTACACCTCAACATACTACAGTATATTCGTATTAACGCTCTCTATGATTAATACATGAAGACTATTACTTTACCATTGTCAATACCTGACTCAGTAGGTGGTGGTTATAGGGGAGGTGGGTTCCCAGCAACCTATTGCTGTCGTAAGAGAGAATTAATTGGATCGGCGGCCAAGCTCTGCGACTTGGTTGATTGCATGTCATCGCAGCCCGATGCTCGTTATATCAATCACTGGTTTTGTCCGTTCCACAATCAGCAAGTGATCACATTGCTAGGTGTTTGCTCATCAAACATTGTCAAGCATCATTTATGTCCCGACTTATCAATTTCTTGGAAACAAATATCACACATGACATGCTAGTGTATGATTGAGTTTGATTTGTGTCATTGACGGGATAAAGACATAGCATTAATACGGAAAACATGAGGTAATTTATCGCATTTCAGAAAAGAAAACAATATGAGCTGTTTCCTCCAAGACAATCAATCACCTATAAGTGTCACGTGACTAGATGCCCTGGGAGGTGTACTATTGATGTCCCTGGCCAAAGCACCGGGGCAGCAACATCTCGAAGATTAAACACGGGTGGGGGCAGACAGATTTAATCAAAAATTTAAAACGCAACAGGGGCAATACCATTAAAGCCCAATGCCAAACATTGAACGATTGTTCTGTATTGAAAAAGTCCCTTCAGGAGTAATATTTTATAGCGGAATATTTCAAAAAACAAATATTTCATTTTCAAGATGGCGTCTGTGGAATTGGACAGCATTGGCAAGCCGTTCTCTTTGAGAGAGGTATCAATTATTGACAATTGATTGAGAGGTGGGGAGTTACGATTTGACCAAGTTGACTAATCAATCATGTTCACTCTTTTTTCTTCCCCCTGGTTCCAACACAGCAGGGATGTTAATCAGAGATGTAGCTGAGCTCGTATTTTATCTTCAAATCAATGTCTAGTCTCTCTTCGACTGTCGCCATGTTTGCACGATCTTAGCAACCTGCGATGACGTCATCAGTTTATGCCGTCATTCTATTGTTTCTTTTATTACTTGAGATATTGACCACAATTCAAACCATTTTAACCTGCGGCGTTCAATAGCACAGATCACAGAGAGCTTGATTTTATTGGTAATTAAACGCGTCACGTGATGTCAGCTTAATGTGACGGAAGAACACACAACAGAGCATGCGCATTTGAAAAATCTTAACTGCTCAATGAAACTTTCGAAAAAAAATACATCCATTATTTTTTATCATTTTTTTTAAACAACATGAATTGAGTAATTCGAATCCAAAATACGATCTAGGTAATCTCCGTCTGTCCACTCGAAGTGTTTTGGCACTGATTACTATGTCAACATAACTACATGTGCTACAAAATATGAAATTTCACAAAAACTGACTCAGATTATTTTTAAATATTTACACTAAATGTATCTTGTGGTAAGGTGTGACGTCATTATCCCAGCATGCATTGCATCGGTCCAGATGACGACATAAATAAATAATGAAGTTGGTGTTAACTTTATGGGCCGCTAGTCTCCTTCTATCGCTTCATTTGCACGCCTAATCACACCCACGGCAACGTGTGTTAGTAGTCATCTAAAATTTTTATACAGTGACAGTAAATTTAATCTTTGAAATAATTATCTTGTATTTTCACACAAAATAGATGATGTGATATCCCCCTATGACAGAGAAATGGCTTCGAGAGTATCGCTGAACACAATGCGCCATTATGGCAGGGTTAGAGAGTTTTTAGATATGGAACTTCCACTGACATGGAGACACAGCTTGAACGTGAGTGTTGTATATTGTCAGGAAAGCTTACATTATTGGTCACAGCACGATGAATGTAATTGGAGGACTGGTCATTGACTAATTACGACAATTGATTGGCTTACGGCCGGAACAAATAGGAACTATGAGACAAAGAATTATTCAATAATCCAATAACTATTTACTAGCTTATCATTTCACTATTTCACCATGAATGTGGAATGATACTTAAAAGATACACATGAATTGTTTATTATTGGCCCATCTGCCACCAAAGTGACAAAAATGTTAATACTCGCATTCAACATTACAGGTACAAAGGTTTAGCCAAGGACGGAAAGGACGAAAAGTCCTTGGTGAGCTACGATGTCAATTAAAAGTATCGCCGTTATAAGAGAGGATGAAATTAAAATATTGAAACCTCACTGTTGTAAGTGGTGTAAATCTCTATCACATTAACTTTAAGCAAGAAACAATTACAAGTCTCAACAACAAAAGTGAAAATCTATATCACATACATATAACCAAATACATTTCCCTTTTAATATGAAGCTACATATTCTTTAGCTCTTGGTGTTAGTTTGTGTATGTAAATAGTTATACTGGAGAGATGACCCGGTGGGAGGAGGAAGAAGGGGCACATCGTACCACATGGACTACACCTTAATCTAACATAAGAAAATTCCTTAAATATCATTTTTCTGAATGAAGTCAGATCGTGTTTCTAAGACCTACCAGCATAAATGAGGAAATATTGTACACAGCCTTGATCTACCTATTATAGAGGAAGAGAAACCACAACCAAGCCTCGAGATATTTTCATAATAAAGTCTCGAAAAAACTCTTCTTTGCTCTGTTTTCCTATGATAGATGAAGCCCATTATCCAGGTGAAATCGGAGACCCTTGAAACCCACAGAGAGTTTGGTCCTCCCAGTCCTGACAAGATACCTTTTGCATTGAGATGTCGTGTTTGAAGTTTTTTAGCTGTATGGTCGCAGAGGGGTGAAACACCACACCAACTTCAGGACCATAAATCACACAACAAAATGTCATCTTCTTCCTATACCTCTGTACCGATACGGAAATCCTTCTCCCTTGAAGGCAATAATCCTTCCAAACCCTTTCCCCACACCACCAGATCCCCAGGGCGCAAGGTAACACAAGCCCTCCATTATTAATTTTCACCTGTCGAAAATGTCCTTCCAACAATCCAGTGCTTAAGAAGGTGATAATCTGCCAATTGGTCAAAAATTGAACAGAGGCGGATTTGAGGAAAACACTATAAACAACTCCGGTATAAAGGTTTGGGGCTGGTCGTTTTGCGTGTGGACTTAACGTAGGGACCAGTCGGTAATTAGAGCCCCTGTCCCAGCTAATCAGGCTATAGGGCCCCGACAAGGAACTCTTCTGTCTCGTTCTCATTTGTCATGACCCGCCCAATCTGTCAACCAACAAACAAGGGACAATTGGTAGAAGATTGTCTGAAAATACACCCCAGTAGACAGGATGGCAGGTGCCCGTTACAGGCAAACACAGTCCAAATGATTCGTCACAATTTGCCACACTGGAGCACGCCAAAGCTTTGTTGTAAAGTGAAAAGGTTTGCAGTCAACATACAATTCCGAGTGTCCCAAGTTAACATTACATCAAGCACTATATTTCCAGAATCTCTACTTCCGTGTCCAAATAATTATCAGTCGTTATGAATATATTTTAAGCTACGTTTTGAATGTATTTGCAAAACACGCACGTTAATTAACAATTCAAAAAATGGCATTTCAAGCATGAAAACATCAATTTAAATAAACCGATGGTATTATATAAATTATTCATAAACAAGCCTTATGGTAAAACTGCTGTTTAGATTATACAAAATCCTGAATACAAAATAGTGACATATTTCTTCCTCAAATATACAACTTTCGAAGAAAAGCATTGTTCTTTGAGCAAAAACGTCGTGTTGTTATCCAAGTCAACAGAGCGATGCTGAAGAAGTATTATTCAGAAACAATGAGAAGGGAGCTAAAAATGAGCACAACAATAACTCCGGTAACGTGATTTTTATAACATTGATTTTAGTTTTCACAAAGGGGTTTACAGCCGACATTTGCAGCGAAACAAATATCATTATTTGAAGTAGTTGTTCACCAAATATAATGAAGGATGACTTGGCAACTGTCAATTCCGCTGGTTGGGATTCCCTTAAGACTTAGAACAAATGACGTCTCTACGTGTTGGCGTCGCCAGGTTGTTTGTGCCAGTTTATATAGACATCAATGCCTCAATAATGCTTCCGCGACAACTATTTATATATCCCTTCCAAATCAGATAAGTTGCTCTTTCAGAAATAATTCATCTCAATCGGAAATCAAGACATATATTTTTCAATCAGGTTAACAGGAGTAATTGGCCGGAGATGTATCGATCTGGGGTCTGAGTGGCATCACAGGGGGTCCTGCGGACCTTATCGCTGGTGGTCAATACAGAGTTTTATTCTTTACAATTAAATTACATAAAAAATGTGATTATTTTGTTATGTTAATGTTTGTGGATAGTGTTGCACATAGTTCCTTTTTCTTACTTTTTTTTAAAGTTCGCTAAGTGACAGTGTTTGCCACTTTCAAAGACAATAGAGACAATAACAATTATTTTTATTAAATAAATAATCTGAAACTGTTTGTATGGATATAATTGGTTTGGGTATTATTTCTTTCCGGATTCTTTCCTTGGGCACGTGTAGTAAGAGAAAAATCATAGCGTGATTATGTCTGTGTTTGAATGGAATTTATGGTCACATGAATGCTTATACAGAGATGGGTTGGAAATGACTGACTGTAGAAATCATACTTCATATCAAAAATATTTTTATTTATGTCATTTATTCTTGTAATTTTATCAGTACATTACTTCAACTGTGTTTTCTTACCCAATTACATGCATTGTTAACACGAAAAGATGAAACAGACATTAAAATATGACATTTTAAAGAGAATGCATTGAGCATATTTTGTGGAAAGAAAAATGACAATTAAATAGACAAGATTAGTGACTAATACGTGCGAGATATAAGTGATGCGGACCCGTCACTCGTGGCGTCCAAACACGAGACCCCCCTCCCAGTCGGGTCCCCCTTCACCCAGATTGAGATGCTTCC